CACCTCCAGCTCCCCTCCTGCAGGCATCCCGGATTCAGCCGCTGCTGAACCTGACCAGCAGCAGCAGAATCAGGGACGCCTGGGGCAGAGTCGGACTATCGTAAGGGGGGACTATGAGGGGTCTGGGGTGGCATCCCCTCCCACCCCACTCCAGACCCTCATAGCCCCCCCTTACGATAGTCCGGCATATCTGATAATCCGGCACCCCCTGGGTCCTAAAGGTACTAGATTATTGGAAGTTTACTGTACAAGGTTATGAAGTTTTGCCATGTGTGTATTACAGAAACATGTTGTGAGGTTGGGAAATTTTACATACAGCAATTGTAGAAATACATCAATTTTCAAATGCATAAAGAATTCTTAAGGGTTCTGTATTAGGGTACATCTAGACTACATGCTTCTGTCGCCAGAGGCATGTAGATTAGGATACCCGACATAGTAAAATGAAGCGGCGATTTAAATAATCGCCGCTTCATTTAAATTTACATGGCTGCCGCGCTGAGCCGACAAACAGCTGATCAGCTGTTTGTCGGCTCAGCGCGGCAGCCATGTAAATTTAAATGAAGCGGCGATTATTTAAATCGCCGCTTCATTTTACTATGTCGGGTAGCCTAATCTACATGCCTCTGGCGACAGAGGCATGTAGTCTAGACGTACCCACCCAGTATCAGCCTTTCAGGAGCAACAATGGACAGAGGAGTTAATGGGCCATTAAAGGGAATACACATGCACAAGAAACCTATATAGTGGAGACCTCTCAGATAGCAGGTAGGAAATGGAGACTGCTTGATCCATATTTCCAGCAACCTGGAAAAAACTATAAATGGAGTAGTAGTGACTTCTTAACTTGGTCTCTCCTCCCCACAACTCACCACCTCGGAACATGTCTGGAGAGGTAATTCCAGACTGGAAGGAAGAATTCTATGTATTCAGGAAGAATTCCATCAGGGTGAGACATTGCTTGTTGCAAATCCTGTCTCATTTACAGAGCTCAGATGTGACTCTACTTTTATTTCTTCAATATCCAACATAAGTATTAAGTGTACAGATCAAACACTTAAAATCTTTCTTTAGTCTGTCTTGTGTTTATACAGAACAGTGCATTTTGGTTGAAGTGCTGGGAAATCTGCCCAGGAGCAATAGCTGGTGCATGTTTTTTCAAGGGAGTGGTGAACCGGGTTATAAACTTATGCTAGTCAGACTTCTGACCAAGGCAGGATGGTACAGCCCTGAGGTCTTAGGCTCGTAAGCTGTAGGGAATTGGCTAGAGTCTCTCTATTGTTAATTTGTGAGTGGCTAGGAAAAGCATTCATGTAACGGGGGCGGGGGGAGAAAGAGGGAAAGCACTTCTGCTTGTGCAGGTCAGAAGATTCAGAGGGTACCCTTGTTCCAGGTTGCACCTAGTCACATTTAGCACCACATTTACCTATAATTTGGGTTTTATAACACATTGCATCTGTGACAAGGTATATCAGCAGGGGTTAACCCTTGTTTCTTAGCCAAGGAGACTATGCCCCCACCCAACCCCCAGCTCTAATGGGCATGCACCCATTGGAGCCCAGATAGAAAAAGAAGCAGAGCAGTTCAGTCTGGGCTGACCAATGGAGGGTAAGGAGGTATATCGATACCTTCTGAAAGGGGACGGCCTGCACTCCAAGACATGGAGGCCAACTGGATGGAGATGGACTCTGACATACAGACATGGGAGGTTACAGAGAATGGAGAGACCAGGGAGTGCCAGAGATAGAGGATTTCAGAGACTCAGGGAGGAAGCGACCCAGGGAAGTTTTGCAGGGAAAACAAGGGCCAAACTGGGCCAAGGCGTGGCATGTTTTAGTCGGACCCATGCTGAGCTTGTGGCGAATAAACCTGCCACTGACAGAACCTTGGGTTGAGACCTGGTGGAAAAGATCCTCCTATTCTGGCCACCACCCACTTTGCGGCAATGGTCCAATCTGCCAGTAACTCTCACACTGGCTATTAAGCCTCACTACCGTGAGAGTAAGGGTTACAGTATGACTCTAGCCATTGGGATGCACTACCCTGACGGAATGACTATCATATAGACTCTGGCTATTGGATCTCACTGCCCAGGAGCAAGGACTATTATACGGACTATGGACATTGAGCTGCATTTTCCTGACAACAAGGGCTGTAGTACTAACTGCGGCTGTTAGGCTGCACCACACTTATCAAGGGTCATATTTAGGACTGCATGCACTGATCCATGTAGCTCTGAGCCACAGACCACTCCTTCCAATTCAACCATGGGGCTGCGACACTCAACCCCCCTCCTGCAATCACGCTTTAGGATTGGGAAAGAGATCAGTCCTGCAACAATGTCCCTAAAATGGAAGTTTCCATTTATTAAATGAACATAAAAGAAAATTTCCATATTGTTTTCCAATCCACCTCTGTCTTTCTTGATATAGCAGTGCCTTAGGATATACCCCCACACTCATAAGGACAGAGGTAACAGGATACACTCTACCATCTGCTTTGGTATAATAAATATTTAGTCATCCATCTAGAGCAGACCTGAACTTTTGAATTGTAATTAGTTAGAGCTTGCAGCTAATTAAAATGTAAATTCTAAAGGACAGAAAATCCTACAAAATAAATTGTTCCAAGCACTATGGTACACTTTCCAGCCTTCCTCATTATTTTCTCTCTTAACAGTGGTTACTTATTTATAACAACAAAAATTCCTATCAAGATACAAACACTCATCTGTGTTCAACTGAATGATGAGCCTAATCATACTAGCCATTAACAACATGCTGTATTATGCCATGATTGAAAGCAGGGATGTAAGCAACTAGTTGAGTAGTTGACTACCCGATAAGACGCCTGGCTCTTACTACATTTAAAAGGCAGAGGCGCATCAGTCCGGAACCTGGCAGGAGCCAAGACTACTCAGTCTAGGCATGTGCCGGGTCCCCGACTTACACCTTCTATGGTTCTGCAGTTTAAATGTAAAGCACCCAGCAACTATTACATTTAAACTGCAGAGCCACAGTGGGGCCCCTTATTGATTAATCATGTAGTTGATACAAATTGTATACAAACAGTCAATTATCCACTTCTTAGCATCCTCAATTGAAAACAAAACTCCTCACAAATCACTGTGGACTTCTGCTTGAAGTTTAATGGAGTAATATGGCTCAATTATCTCAATCTTTGTGTTAGCAGTTTATTAATACCATACAATAAGCAGTCCAAGACCGACAATATTTGGACAAAGGATTCTAAAAATGTCTGCATAAGTAGGCACATTATTTTCAAACTGCTACAGGCTAACGTAATCAAAACTTGCTGAAGTCCTTTATATGAATTAGGTAGCAAAAGTTCTGTTGTAACCCATTTTTAAGTGCTTCAATATTTTTCTTTAGATAATGTTTAAACCATCTCACTGGCAATATGAAAGGAGCAAACAGATAGTACACAAACTCTCTCATACAAAAAGACACTATTTATCTATGCTGTCATTTCAACTACATTCTATAAAATTTAAGCTATTTTGTTTTTACATACATTTACAGACAGCTATAAGTGGGGAACTCCTGGATCATCTAGGGTTCCTGCATACAAATCTGTTGGATTTCCCAAACCAGGCTACAAAAGTTTGAAATGACAGCTTCTGAAATTTGAAGAAGGCAGATTCAAAATTGTGCTTAGTTCTCTTGTACTTGATAATTTTGAGAATTACACCTGCATTATTCTTTTCTGAAATGTGTCTTATTTTTCCTCTAGATTTGTAATTCAAATGTTCACCAAAAGGATCTGGGATTGTCAAATTTTGTTTTATAAACCTTCCTCTGCAATTCCAAGAAATACAACAAATGCACATAAGTTGTAGATTCTGAAGGTAAATCCTGTAACTTCTGTTAGTTATTTTAAACACATCAATATGCATATCTATAGAAAAGTCACAGAATGTGTATTCTGACTGTGCAGAACAAAAATTTTAAACATATCATTAAGAATTTTACCATTTACATTCACAATATCTACCCCCTTCGAAGAGACTGGTATGAAGAATAAAGACTAGCCTCCATCAGATCAATGTTACTCAACTTGACAGCAAAGCAAGTCTAGAAGGACTTCTTGAATAGGAATCTACACTCGAGTAATGATTTAGAATCATTGCTAGTTTATTTCCAAATTTAATTAACAATGCTAAACTATATAACCTTAATTCATATTTACAAAAACAGCTGAAGGAAAGAAGGTAACTGAGTAGCAGAGTACCTAGATTTTCCACAATACCACCAAAATTCTTCAATAAACTATAAAGATCCACATTTTTCTGTGACTGAAACACCCTAGTTACAATACATATAACAGCTGAAATCTATGTGTTATTTATATACAATAGAACCCTGTTTATTCCAACCTACTTTATCTGGGATATTCATATTTCCATTTTCCATATTCGAACCACCAGCCACCCAGAGGCTGACCATCCAAGCCCCATTGCTGTCAGCCCCTGGGTGGCTTGTGGTTTGATTAACATGGAAAGCCAAACAACAGATTTGGATATACAGGGTTCTACTGCATACATTTTTTTTTTTTACAAAACATGAAACTAAAGATTTCTGTAAAAAATGCAAATTAAGAGTTTTTCCATTACAAACAGTTTTATAGAATCCCTGTTGATTAGGCAGTGAAGGCTTAACATAATACATGTATTCATAACAATGGAATAAACTGAGCAACATTGCTCAATCAAATTCATTTAAAAAAAAACACAATATGGAACCAGCCCAGCAACATTCTGGCAAAACTTCAAGTGAAGTCAGAAGATGACAACAGGAATGTTTTAACTTCTCAGAGTACTGACAGCCTCCAACCTTCACTGTTGTGATGGGTAATGTTCTGATATACCTTTGACATTCTATCATCACTTCTTCTTACCGAACACACTTATATGCAAGTAGGAATATATTTAAATATTAGCAAAAAATAGATAGGAAAAAAGTTAATTTGTTGATGGATTATCTCATTATACCAATAGATGTCTCTATCCACCAGTCTACCCAGAAGTATTTTAATCCCGTATATCCAAGTCTCTTCCACTAGTCTATCCAAAGTATCTTCAATTTTAGACTATATAAATGACATATATATTATATAAATCTTTCAAATACAAATATTTGTATTTGAAAAACAATTAAGTAACAATGCAATTGCATAATCCTATCACATCATTTACAAAATTCAAGCATTTAAAAGCTGGGGAATGACATAACTCTTGTGCTAGGTCTACACTGCAGAGTTAAATAGCTATTCTGCATCTTTTGAGCGCACCTGTTATTTCAAAATATAACGGGCTCGCTATTCTGACGTCCCTGTAAACCTCATTCCATGAGGAATAAAGGACATTTCGGAATAGCAATTTATTTTGAAATAAGTGCTGTGTAGACAACGCTATTTTGAAATTAACTCTACAAACCTCCAGTCCCTAATCACCAGAGCTGAAGAAAGAGCTGCACAGATCAAACTGCAGGACACACAGTACTCAATTCTGTACCTATTTAAATCAATGGCAAATAACTCCTATTGAAATCATTGGGCCCACAACAACCCAGACCACAACACAAATCATCCATGTTATTAAATTAAAAACCAAATTTCTTCAAATACAATTGATGCATGAAAAAATGGCTGTCAATTTCTCTTTAAACTTTATAGACGCATTCTCCTTTGACTCCATAGTAACTCTGGCAACTTTTAAGCCAAAATGCTTTTTAAAGCAATTGTTGTATATGGCCTAAAACAACATCTCAACTCTCAATAACTTATTACCTGTTTTTGCCGTTCCAGTTCAGCCTCCACTTCTTGTTTGGCCATTTTGTGGGTTGCTATCTGCTCTTGGAGATCTTGAAGTTGTTCTTTTGCTGACTCGGCTTCGCTTACTTGTTGAGCCTCCGTATCCTAAAAAAAGAATAGAAATGTTATCATTCCAATAACATCAAGCCACAGACCTAGCCCTGTAGTAATACCAAACACTACTCCTGCAGAGTGGATCTTAAAGGTTGGATTTAGCTCTCTTTTTTGTGCATCAATGCTCTCAAGAAAAATGAACCTTAGCCTGAATAAATTACCAAATACACACATTAAAAAAAATATTACTTCATATTCATATGTGTATTTGTTTGTGTTTTCTTTCTAGGTACCTCAAACTGACTGCCTCCTTTCTTGTACTGTCCTCAGGTTGACATCTCTCTGCCATGAAGTACAGGTCTACCTGGTGAGAAGGGCTGACCACAGACAACCCTTGCCTGTTAATGAGGGACACAACCGTGGAATAACTCGAGTCACGTCCTCGGTGCCTGACAGCACACCCCCTTCTGAAAAGCTACAGATATTCTGTGCAGGTCCCATCTGTTTCTCTGTGTCTTCTGGCAGAATTAAAGCAGAAGCAACTCAGAGCAGCTGCAGGCTGTTGTCCTGCTCTTGTCCACGTTTCTCCCTGCTCAGGGCAGCTTCCTTACTTAAATGCTCTGCAGGGAAGGAGCCCATCCTTCCCAGCAATCTGGGAAGGCATGTGACCCACACCTCTCCCTCCACATTGTCTTTGGAGCCAACCAAAACAACAGTGGCTGCCCAGACACTACAATTTCCATGGACTTCAACAAGCTTAAAAGACCAAAAAGGCATATCCTTCATTCTCCAAAGAAATATTGATGAAAGTCGTTTGGGCTAAAACACCACCTTTCAATGTGGGACTGGGATGCAGGGCAGACAGACAGCAGGAAGGGCAACACTTATGCTCTCAGACAGCCTAGGAACTGGAACGGTCAAGGAGACTGGAGAGAAACTGAAGTATCAATGACAAACCATTTCTCACCCTTGAGAAATCACCCTAATAAATAAATGTTAAAATTAGCATAATAGCTATTCCAATCACAATAAGGTGTCTAATACAATTATAGTAGTAACAATACAAGCAGTATGAAAGACACTGCAATCCCACATACTTATGTAGTTAGCTACAAAGGCTGTGTATAAATGTATCTACCTGGAGCTCAGTTCTCAGCTGCTGTATCTGCCCCATTAATTTCTGTATCTCCTCCTTCTGTATGTCTCTCTCATGTCTCAGTTCTTCCAGTTCCATGGTACTTGCAGTAAGACTATCTAGTCCTTCAATACCAGAGCCTTCTTTTAGGCTGTTTATCAACTTTTCTTTAGACTGAAAGATTAAAAGTGCTTTTGTATTAATAAAGATGCAAACTACTGAATTCTTTGCTTAAATACATATGTTTCACTCTCAACTATAATATGAATTCCATACTAACATCTCTTGGCAAGATTTGGCTCTACAATTTTAGGCATGAAACTAAAATTAAAACCATATCTAACATTTTTTATAAATATTACATCAGATAGTGTGTCAGTCAGTCAGTCTCTCTCTCATACACACACACACACACACACACACACACACACACACACACTGAACCTGCAATTTGATCCATGTAGATGAACTCTGACACCTGCATAGAATCCACTGACTTTAGTGTGGCTCCACAACAGCACAATGGTTCATTAACAGAGATTATATTACAGGCTTTCGGTCAAAGATAACTCAGTCTTCAGGCACATGGGATTCTTCTAAATATAATTCTATCATCCCGTATTTTAAGATCTACTGCACCATTTTATATTATTAGCAGTATATTATAGAGTCCAGTGTATATAACTGATCACATAGGGTGTGTCTAGACTACAGGTTGTTTTTTTTTAAGTGACTGTTTTTCAAAAAAACTTCTCCTGAGTCTAGACTGCTGCCACATTCTTTTGAAAGTAAATCGAAAGAAAGCGGCAGTTTTTTTTGACTGCAGAAAACCTCGTTTTATGAGGAAGAACGCCTTTTTTCGAAAGTGCTCTTTCAAAAAAAAGGCGCTATGTAATGCAAACTGCTTTTTCAAAAGAGAGCATCCAAACTGCCTGGGTGCTCTCTTGAGAAAGCAAGCTGCTTTTTCAAAAAAAGTACTGGTTGTAGTCTAGATGCTCTTTTTCGAAAGAGGCTTGCAGTCTAGATATAGCCATATAGTGAACATAAATTGAACAAAATTAAATATGATGCTTCATAGTTCCATTCCATTTTAAAATAAAATGTATCAATGTTTCTGCATGGTTTTCTTTTATGATTAACCTGGATTTCCTCTCATTTATACTCAGTAGGGAACTGCATGCTTACTTGGAGTATACGAGTAGCTTTGTTTTTGTAGTCCACCAATTCCTGTTTAACCGACTCAAAGTTGGTTTTAGTTACTTTGACTTGCTGCTGAAGCTCTTCCACCCTTCTCTTTTCATCCACATATTTTCGTTCTGCTGCAGTAACTGCTTCTGCCAAGTTCTGCTGCTCAACTTCCATTTTACCAAGGCGAGCTGCAAACTCATTCTATTAGTGACAAAACAAACAATTAATACAATCCAACTTTCAGTTAACTTTCAAAAGGTCTTTTTTTTTGCTAATTACATAAGAAGCAAGACAGAGTCCACTTCCTCCAGGTTAAAATCATCATCAATACTTTTTACTCAGACAAAACACACACTAAATTCAAATGGAATGCTAAATCCTAGAAAGCAGATATATCTAAGTCACCAAACAACAGGTGTTTTCTTTACTCAGTAAAAAGTAATTCATCCTATTATTTAAACTCTATGACTGAAAAGATGAGCAAATTTCCCCTTGAAAAGACCACTTGGGGTTTAGAACCCTAATTTTGATTTTGAAAAATAAATTAAAATATTAACAGAAATATTTGTGGACGTTACTGAAATATTTAATGAACATTACAATATTTTGGGGAAGCAAAGAGAATTTAATATCTTATTGCTATAGTATGTTTTTGATGTTCACTCTATTTGAAAACAATGAATTAATGGATTCCATTGTCCAAATTAAGTGTAATTAAGTAATAAGCAAAAAGTATGAACTATGGAAAGTAAACAAGACTAAAGCTAGTTGAGTGATCTAGTTTGGTAATCTATTATTAGCATGAGTTTGCAAATCTATTTAAATGAGCTTTATACTGAAACACTAAAATTCTACTAAAAACAAAACTACAGGTTAAAGCTCTCTAGCTGTGCACTATATGGTCTGGCAACATGCGTGATCTGGCATGATTTTTGTTAGTAAAATTAGTAAAGTTAGCATGATTTTAGTTAGTAAAGTTTCCTGCAGTCCCATAAAGTTTGTTTATAGACACCAGTCCTGTAAGAGCCCTGTAAGCAGAAGCAGTGTTGGTAACATTGCTATACAACATTGATCTCCTGTGGTTCAACAAATTCTCTGGTTCAGCACCAGCCAGGTCCCTGGGATGCTGGATTAGAGAGGTTCAACCTGTATAATAAAAGTGGTCAATTTCTGGACAGTTTCACCACTGAATCTTGAAAATAAAATTTCAAAGGGCTAAATAAATTAATTAGTGTACAATGGACACAGATTTCATCAAAGGGCCACTACAGGCAAAGTCAACAGGAATTGAGGGCACTTAGCACCTCAGAATTTCAGGAACCCAAAAGCAGTCTCACAATCTACCTCCATTTTCACTTCTAACCTGCATCTGTTTGTAACTTTCTTGTTCACGCTTCAGTGTGGAGTCTGCCTCACGTAGCCTCTCTTGCAGAGTTTGAAGGGCTTGGTTCTGTAGGCTGCTCCCTTCGTGTTGGTCTTGTATTATTCTAAAAGAGTATTACAGAAAGTCATTGAAAATGAAGTGTATATACACTATGCTGTCAAGTTAGAAACAGTAAGGTAATCCTTCCAAACTATTTTATTTCAGACAGCACCAACTAGGTGGTACGCCTGGTTTCCACTTGGCAATGTTTTTCTTTTCTAATGCAGAAAATAATTCTACAAATATATATTTTTTAAACATTCGTTGAGAAAGTAGATAGAATAGTAAGAATAAAATGTACAGCTCATCAAGAGCAACCTACATACAGTAAGACTCCAATTGTCTGGCATCCCTGATAGTCCGGCACCAACTGGAACTTGAAAGTGCTCCGGCCAGCCAGACAATTGGAGCAGGGGGGTGAGGGGCAGTGCTATGGGACCAACTGGGCAGCACCCCAGCTGCTCTGCCCCGGGCTTCCCCAACTCCGCTGCTGCTGAAACTGACAAGAGGCGGACTTGGGGAAGCCGGGGGCAGAGCATCTGGGGTGCTGCCAGGTTGGCCACTGCTTCCCCATGGGTGCATCCCCCCCATTCCTGCCACTTGCAGCCCCAGCTGGCCTGTTGCTGGCAGCTGCGCAGGGCTTCCCCCGCCACCTCCTCCCCCCAATCCTTCATAGCGCCCCTTCTGGAGTACCTCCTGATACTCCGGCATATCCAATAATCTGGCACCCCCTGGGTTCCAAAGGTGTTGGATTATCAGAAGTTTACTGTACTACTATTTGGAATGGGTTTTAAAGTACCTTGATTTTTCACTCTGTAGTGCATCCAGAGCTTCTGTCCGAGTACTCAATAGCTCATCGGCTTCTTGCAACCGCACTTTCAGCACAGCCAGCTGGGAATCCTTGGCAGAAACAGCTTCTGTAAGATCATCAACCCGAGCTTGAAGTTCTCGAACCACCCTGTCACTCTTTGAATGGTCAACATTCCATTTGTCTACCCTGGCTCTGGCATTCTTTAGTTCTACAAAATAAAAAAAAAAGGATATTTATATATGCATACATACAATCGAATCTACTGTCTTGGGGACGGGGGAATAAAAAGTATTAGATGCCATGTGGTTACAATGTCACTTGTGCCACAATCCATACAAGGAAAAAAAATTAAATTCAACCAGTTGAGCTTATATAACACTGAAAAAGGTGAGAGCTCACTTTAAAAGACACTAGAGTTGACTCATTTTAATTTAAACTATTGAAACAAAATAAACGTACATAGGCATAACTACTAGAATCAATGATTCAGTGTTAAAATGACATCTTTTGAGTTTGTACTTTGTTTTTAAATTGAACACTATATTTGTGTAAAAGTTAAAACTATTTGGTCAAAATTCATATGAAGTACTATTTAAAAAAGACTTCCCTGACCTGTGATATTACTGGCTTTGATTAAACAATATTACAAATTGAATTGGCTTTTTAATTAGTTTTTGCATGTCAGTTAACTTAGGCATAGATCAGATCATATAGTCTAGGCAATTTGACATTTTTATTATTTTTTAGACGGAGATTTCACTTTCTGGGTCTTACACATTTGCATATACATGTTTGGGTTACAAATATTGCAGGTACCCAAAATGGTCACAGATATTTTTTAGAACATGTAAACACTTATAATAGCACTGGCCTTTCCGAAATCTTGTTTTTACTCATTCTAAGTTTTTAGGTATAATAAACTTGATTGTGTCCCTTTCAACATCACTATTACTAGGGATGTAAAATCCCATGTAATTGGTTAACCAGTTAAATGTTAACCATTTAAAAGGGACACCCGAGCAGCTGGTCTCTGGTGGCCTCCAGGGACCCCCCTGCCCATGGCAGGGAGTTGCTCCAGCCCCCACTGGTTAATGGTTAACTGAAACTGGTAAGCATCACCTGCTGAATAACTCATTGACCAGTTAACCTTTCACATTCATAGCGTTTACATTACATTGTCACATTACTATTTTGTTGTTGAATGACTATCCCTTCCAACTATCTGAAGTAAATATTTTTTGCTCCAGATGGTTTCAGTGAAGCCCCTGTTACCCACCATATGAGAACATCTTTGTCCTAAAAGCATTGGGATTTAATGAGCTTAGCATGGACAGCTCAAATATACTTATCATTCCCTCCAGCTTAGCAATTCCTGAATATCCAAAGGAATATAATACTGAACAAGCTACATCTACAGATTTAACTAGAAGTGCTTGAATTTGAACACAAGTCACAAATGGAAAGGCAGCACTAGTCTTCTATTTGAATTGGAATCTCAAAGCCAGTTAATATTTTGAAATATAAGCTTCCAAACTAGACTACCTTCCTGTGTTTCTTTGGATCTCTGAATTAATGAAGCCATTTCTTGATTTAAAGACTGAACCTCATTCCGTAGCAGTTGATTCTCCAGACGAAGATTGGACAGTTCGTGTGATTTGCAATCCTCATTAGCTGATAGGTTGGGATTAGTTGCTGTATTTAGTGATGAACCTTTTGTTACATCTACTTCTGTACCCAATCCAGAATCAGAGTTGTCACGAGTTTCTGTACAAAGAGATCCAAGTTAAATCAAGTATATTTGTTTGCTGGTCTACTTATTGTGAGTAACCATACAATTACACATCCATATTTTATATATAAGTTGACATTTCACCACTGAAGTGAATTATTTAATGGCTACTCACAAAAAGTAGACCTAAATAGTGCCATATTCTAGTACATCTATAATGCAGATGGTTTGTAAAGTGCAATGAGAATAGCCACAGATGTCATATTTAGCAAAAGGTTTAACAAAAAGATCATATTAAGGGTGGGAAAATAAAGTTATTTTTTAAATATAAATGACTATGTTCACACTGGCTAGGGGTTCAACTTCTAAAGACTTACACACTTGAACATATTTCCAAAGTAATTTTTTCCATCTAATGTCATGTACGAGCTACTCAGTTTCAATTCTTATGTATTATATTATCAGTGGCAAGCCTTAAAAAAAAAAAATCTACCCCAAACACATAGCTGGGTGCAGTTTATTCACTACTATGGAAGCCCCAGGGGCCACAATGATACTCAAACACATGCTGAGGGCCGCAACTCAAGTGCGGTTGCATAAACATGCAAATATATGCAAATAGCTTATTTCACACTGATGAGCATAAATACAAAGATTAAGGCAAGACTACACAACACACAGGCCCCATTTAAGTCAGTTCTGCTGATATTAATAAAATGCAATATAATATCCAATTTCCACACTTCTGACTGCACTTTTAATGAGCAATGACAGTCTAGGAATTTAACTACTAAAACACATATCAACAGAAGACCATTATATTGACTACTTTATCTTGGTTCCCACCCGCAGGCCGTGTGTTGAGCCCCACGTAAATCCAAACTGTACCACAGGCTGCAAACCAACAGGACGCAGGCTGAATGCATCCCGTGGGCTGTGTGTGTTCAGTAGCCCTGCTGTATAACATAGCCTATTAAGATTACTTCAATTATACCCATCACCTCACCAGCTTGCTTATTAATCAGCTGGCCTCAAATTATTTAATTACAAAATATTTTGGGGAAAAGCGGAGGCACTTTTCACCATATAAATGTTTACTATAAGAACACTGGAAGTTACAATGGTTTGAAGCACTACAGTAGGCTGTGGAATATTCCCTTTAATCTTGCCTCATATCATAATTCCATAGAGGCTTTGCAATACTATTCAGATTCTGTGATAACATTCCTTCAAAAGTTCATAAATCTAGAAATCCTAATTGCATATAGTTCCCACAATTCCGGGATTTTAAGCATCAATTCTATTTTATACAGCAGGCACCTATTTTAATCGAATACTGTAATCTAAAACAACAGTCAACCATCATCTGCACAGGTCACCAGAAAAAAAACAGACTGGGATTTGGATTTTTAGTATGGGGTTACTGAAGTCTTTAACATTTTTGACACAAATGAGTGTACATTTCAGGGCCTTATCTTTAAAACTTTGCATTGGAGTCAATATGAAATAGTGTGACATGCAGGGAGTGTAAAAAAAAAAAACCACCTGATCTACAGGTGTTAATTGTATTTCACATTCAGTGTATCCACAATGGATAACCGGATTAAAAAAATCAGTGAATGCAGACTGAAATCAATACAAGGAAAGGGTGTCCATTTGAATCTAGTGTTTTCAACTGTCACCGCACTCTTTACTTCACCTTGTGCTCACCAACAAAGCCTGCTCCACCTTCAACAGTCCACATCACACAGTGCCCTAGGGAGATGGGGTGGGCCATTAATTCTAAATACTGACACACCAAGAAAGAAGCACCATAAATCCAATCAAGATTTGTTCAATACCTCTGGAATCATCTGACCTAGACTTAAAATGTTCTAAGTATTATACCCTTCCTGTTAGTATCTGGTAATGTGAAGACTGTATAAATGAACTGTGAGATAATACCATTTGATTTATGCCAATAATTATAATATGCACAAATATAAAATAGGAATGGGCTAACTAGCTCGCACAAAAGTTATAAAACGTATGTTTTATGACTGAAATAAATTTGAATATAGTAACTGTAAAATTAGGTGTGCAGATATAAATGTATTTAAAGCTAGTGCCTAGCTCTCTTTTATATCAGTGCACTAAGAGACATACTAACTAAAAAGACCAATGATTGGCAAACTCAAGATGCTATACTGGACAAAAAAACAAAACAAAAAAAAACACCCCACCACATTTCATAAATATAATCAGAGTTCTATGTGACAAATCTACAATTAATACATATTAAGTTTGCTGTGATTAAACATTAAAAGAGTCATAAGAACTCTAAATAGAAGCATATCCAAGTTATTAACCCTCCCTTTATAGGTTTTAAGTCTTTAGCAACTTCATTACAATATTTATTAAATGCACATACAGTACTTTAAATATTCAATTAACTATACTGATATCAATTAACATAACTCATGAGGCAGTGCATGTACTATTCCTATTATACATATGGAGAAATGGAAGAAGATAGGTAAGGTTACTCCAAGAGTCTTGAATCAACAGAAGAGCTGGGGTTAGCTCTAAGGCAGGGTTTCCCAAACATTTTGACACGGGGACCAGTAAATCCATTCATGAGCTTTTGGAGGACCGGTAACATATTTGCATATTCATTAAGCAAATGATGAATATTCAAATAAGTTGTTTCTGGTCCTCCCAAAGCCCCCAGTGCCAGCTTTAGCAAAGCTTTTGATACAGTCACCCACAATATTCTTGCCAGCAAGTTCAGGGAATATGGATTGGATAAATGGACAGTAGGATGGATAGAAAGCTGGCTAGATCAGGGTTTCCCAAACTTTTTACTTTAATTGGAACCTGGTTATTTTCCAGTACAGTTTTTGCAGCCCAAAAATATAAACGCATATAAAAAATAATTAAAAATGAATAAATGTTCAGTGATTCACCCGGCTGCATCCTCTGCCCAGCCTGGGCCAGGGCTTCAGGGACCTGGTGCCGCACGGGCACTGCAGGAGGCAGGAGCAGATTGGGGGTAGGGTATCTGGCTAGGGTGCAAGGAGGGGTAGGGTTGCCAGGTGTCCAGTTTTGTACCGGACTGTCCAGTTTGAGGGCTCTGTCTGGGAAACAAATTGAGAAAATACCAGACATAAAATGTCCGGTATTTTCTAATTAGGCAAGTTTTATTATAATTAGGTGTATCAGTCTGTAGCTGCAAACTGCCTGGCTGGTAGATGTGCTCACGCTGCGTGAGTGTATCTACCAGCCAGGCAGTTCGCAACTACTCGAGGTAGGGTATTGGGAGGTGGAGGGGGTGGGGTGGCCAAAATGGAATCCCCAGAGCCGGACTCACTCGTGTGCCAGGGTTTACATGTGCCTGGGTCAGTCTCGCTTCCTGCTGGCCGATTCACTCCCCACCCCATGCTTCTTCTCCCAATCTCCCCCATTCAGCCCTGCTTCCAGCGGCCAGTTCCCCCCGACTCCCCACAGAGCTGCTCTGGCCAGCCCCGCTCCCCCCGACAACCCTCCCAACCAGCGCCGCTCCCCCAACTCCCTCCCAGCCGTCTGATTCTCCCCTGCTTCTCCTCACGATCTCCCCTGGCCGGCCGCACTGCCCCTGTCCAGCCCTGCTTTCAGAGGCTGGTTCTCCTGTCCTCCTCCTCCCGATCTCCTCCGGCCAGCTCCCGCCTCCCCTGCTTCCTCTGTGTGCTCCTCCAATCTCTGCTGGACAGTCCCGCTGCCCTCAACCCTGCTTCCTGGCAGCTGGTTTTCCCCACACACACACCTCCTCCCAGTCAACCCCGCTCCCCTCCCAGCAGCCATGCTGAGGCCCAGTATTTTTTCCCCCGGCCACAGCCCATAGTTTGGGAAACGATGGTCTAAGGGGTTCTTGACCCCCAACCATGTTATCATTACTCTAAAACACCTTTCCCTCCTATTACAATCTATTCCATTTACTGTCAGTAAATTTGTTACTCTTCACATAATGTGATTTTTAAATATGCCTAAGTTCAATAAACATCTATAGTTCCATATAGCTACCATGGCTTGGACTCCTGATAGAATGGTCTTCAGTAGTTTTTATATTTTGTGTACTTATAGGCACAGAATTAATGCTTGAATTCTGAGAGTGATTTTGAAGAACTGCCTTGTTCTTTTCCTTTTTAGGGTCCATCCTTCCATTAGTTCCTTTCTCAGAACTATTGAGAAAATCAAACAGAAGCTCATCATCAGGTTCAGACTTTTTCCTTCTCACAAACTGGGAAGAAGGTCTGGGTATGGAAACACTCTCGGCTGGAGGAGAGCCCTCTAAAGGCGTCCTGGCTGCTGCTTTTACATTTGCAGTTCCAGCTAGTATTGTAGCTTTCTGGTGTATAATATTATCAGCTGCAGTTGAAATATAGTCTGCTTTAGATGATGTTTGATATGTTAATTCTCTGGTTTGCTGGTGCAGTTCAGGATATTCACTAGCAGACTCCAAATCCGTATTATCATATATTACTTTCCCTGTATTGTCTTTTTTGCTCAAAGCTGTTGCAGCTCCTTGATCGACTCTGTTGAGAAGGTCCTCTGCCTTTCCAGCAAGATCAGCAAACCAAGACATAACGGATGTCTAGTGACAAAAGCTACAGAGTTGAACCCCAAAAGCATGAGCTGCAAAGAGACACAAAATGGTTACAAATCAAATATATGTTGATTTGGGTTTTTGTTATGAACTACAGTTTTGTCCTTGCTTCATTCTTTACCATGTTATATTACTAGAGTGTCCAAATCAAATGTTCTTACAGGAAAATGCAGACCCAGGACAGTCAATTTTTTTTGTAAAGGTTCAAATTTTCATGGTCAAGGTACTTTTAAAAAATAATAATGAATAATAAGTAAATAAAAAGACTTTGGGGGTCTGTTAAAAAAAAAGTCTGCCAATCCAGATTTGGGCTATGGACTACCTATGGACGACCCCTCCTAGTAGTAGTTTTTGCTACTAAACCAGCAGAGTCATTTAGGGCATCAACACCTGCTAGCAGCAGTGGCAACCCCAATGATCTCATTCCAAGAGGATCAGAGGGGTAGCCGTGTTAGTCTGAATCTGCAAAAGTGGCGAGGAGTCCTGTGGCACCTTATAGACTAACTGAAATGTAGGAGATTAAAGTATAAGAAACTGGCTGGAGAGGGAAATATGAAGCAATGTGGATAACCACAGGAATATAGTATAAAAAAAGTCTATTTGACACTAGAAGATTTATCCAGTGTTGCTCAGGACCTTTTTCTGGGGGGGAGGGAGGCTGGAAAATAAAATGAAAAAAGGAGTGGCAACCCCAATGATCTCATTCCAAGAGGATCTCATTCCAAGAGGACTACACAAGTCCTCTCTCACCACAGCAGCTTGGGGCCAGGTGAAAAGCCCCTCCAGCCCCTTTTACCTGTCTGGTGATTCTCTTTTCTGTATGGCTTAATGAGAAGCAGTCCCATTCCAGGCACATCCCATTTTCCTGGCAAAACCAACTTACCTTGCTTTAACTTACGATAAAACTGCACACCGAATTTGGTGGTCCTACACACAAACAGACTCTCTCAAATCTATAGCAGATGTGGCATGCAGACCTCTCCAGAAGCACTTGCAGGAATTCCTGCCCAACACAAATGTTGTTGTTCGAACTAAGTGCAACTCCTAAACTTGTGGACGGCGTGAACCCCTTTAACCGTGCTGGAGAGAAGGGCCCATATGGGCACAAAGAACCGGACTTTGAAAGGCGAGAACCTCAGCTCTGGCTAGGCACCCAACTACCTTTAGCACCATCGCTGGTCCTGACGCCCTGTAGGCTGCCAGCCATGACAGTGCTGCGAGGGGCGGGGGTGTTTCGTGCCCAATACGAGCCCACAGCCCTGCCTGGACCCTGGAGGAGACCATGGAGCAGCACTGTGGACCCGAGTGAGGGGGCAGGGGTCGGGTCGGCACCGCAGCACAACACGCGGGAAGGAGCAGAGGCTCAGAATGGGGTGTCGCCCTTCACCCTAC